TGAAAAGGAGGTTCAGTCTGCAAATTTCACCAAGAAGCACAAAGTTCACCATCATTCTGAGAATTCTGAGGATGTCACTCTGGCTCGTAAGAACACTGTGGAATTGATGGAATATATTGAGAAGGAAAAATTAGGCGTAGGTAAGGAGGTGGAGAAGGTAGAAGAAGAAGAACTCGATTATCGTGTAGTCGAGGATGAATCTCTTCAGGGTGAAAGTGTTGACGAATCTGAAAATGATGAGTCCACTGGTAACGAGGATTTGGATCTTCTGAGTGAAGATAACCACCAGGTAAGTATGAATGAGGATGAGGATGAGGACATGGAGGACGACAAGATTGTGCTTGCTGGAGCTCCCAAGAAGCTGGATACCGTGCGTGGTTCTGCCTACTCCAAGTATGCGTCTGCTGAGGTGGCTGTGAATATGAACATTGACTCGCCTGAGGAGATGTTGAATTTGACCAAGTTGAAGGATCTTGCTCAGCGCAAAAGAATGGAGTTCAATGCAAACCTGAAAGGTACTACTGGTGCTGGTGTAAACAGTGGTAGCAAGCTGGGTAACTCTGGTGGTGTTTCTTCTGGTACTGGTGCTAAGGGTAACAAGTCTGGTGTTGCTTCTGGTGTTGCTTTCGGTGGTGTTTCTGGTGGTGTTTCTGGTGGTGTTTCTGGTGTTGTCAAGAATAGCAAGACTAATGGCCGTGCGCCTCTCAAGACTAAGCAAGACGCCCGTAGGGCTCAATGAGTACAAAATTAGGCATCAAGATTGGCTCCTTGAACACGCGTAGCTTGTTCATGCAGTCTAATCCTACAAATCTCAAAGAGTTTTCATCTTATCTTCGCTCCTCCTCTCTCCATCTGGATATCCTTTGCTTGCAAGAGGTATCTCATTTCCGCTCTCAATCTACTCTCACTGAATCTCAAGTCCGTTCCTTTTCTTTTGCTTTTCCTAATTGTTCTCTCGTTGTGTCCAAGCACTGTGCTATTATATGTCTCAATTCTCGTTATTCTTTGGTGGATACGGAGGTATTGTTGGATGAACGTTGTCTTGTTGCATCTGTCGTAGATGCCTCAAGCAATGTTTTGTGCAAAGTGGCCAACGTCTATGGTCCAGCGCAGTCTTCTGACCGTCCTTCATTTATCTCTGATTTTCTCTCTCTTTCTGTTTGGTCTGATGTGTTCAACACACCTTGGATGGTTATGGGTGATTTCAACATTCACTTGCACTCTTTGTCTACTTCTCGTCAAGCCGATGTCGCTCCTTTTGTTCACTGGTTGCGTACTCACTTTGTCAATTGTCATCCGGATGGTTTAGCCACGTTTCCAAAGAGCAATACTTGTATTGATTACATCTTTGGTCACTCTTCTCTTGCTCCTCGTTTGACTAATAGTCAGTTACTATATATGCCTAGTAGGTGGACGGATCACTCTCTTTTGACTGTTGAAATGTTACCTGCGACAGCTAGTATTGGTCCTGGTAGTTGGCGGTTCAATCCAACTCTGCTTGATGATAAGGAATTTGTTGCGTTGTTGAATGCCACGGTGTCATTGTTCTTCTCTGGTGCTGTTGGTGGTGGGTCTAAGGGTGTCAATACTAGTCAAGGTAGTAGTGGTGACTCTGAAAGCACGGTGGCTAGATGGGAATCCTTCAAGTTGTTACTAAAGTGCTGTGCACAAAAGTACACTAGAAGCATGAAAGCACGATTCAAGAACAAAGTTTTTACGCTTCAACTGGAACGTATTAGGGCTCTGTCAACGTCTGTATCAGGTGTTGAGACTAGGAATGCTATTGATCCAACTGACAGAGTGTCTACTGCTTCAGGTGATGCTGAGCAGGTCAGGCAACTGGAAGTTTTGATTGAGAATCAGATACAGAAAGAGACTAGTCAGAATATGCTTCGCTCTGCCACTCGTTGGTTAGAACAGGGAGAACGTAGCAACAAGTATTTCTATCGTTCGATCAAGGTGCGAGAGTCTCAACAGACAATTCAATCCTTAAAGTGCTCTACTACTGGGGATATCTTGGTGGAAGCAGCAGCTATCAACAGGGAGGCACAAGGTTTTTACCAAAGGCTATATACCCCTGATGCTGTCGATGCTGAAGCTATCGATACTCTCCTGGGGAATGTTCCAACTGATGTACGTCTATCATCTTTGGATGGTGATATGCTAATGGAACTTCCAACTCGTGATGTTTTGTTGTCTTTGCTCACTCATGCTCCCAAGTCTAAAAGTCCTGGTCTTGACGGTTTGCCTTTTGAATTGTATCAATATCTTGCTGGTGTTTCTACTGATTTTCTTGACTTGCTTGTGGATGTGTTGGGTGCAGCTTTTTCTGGTGTGTTTCCTCCTTCGTGGCAGCAAACTCGTATGGTACTTTTGTTCAAGAAGGGTGACCCTCAGTTGTTGGTTAACTGGAGACCTTTGTCCTTAATTAACAGTGATGCCAAGTTATTTACAAAGCTCATTGCTAATCGTATGAACAAAGTGTTGCCAAAGTTAATCAACCCTTATCAAACTGGTTTTCTCCCTCATCGTCTGATCTCTGACAATGGCTGGTTAAATCAGTTGTTGATGTCTCACTTGCGTGTTGTTGCTCCTGATTTACCTCAAGTGGCTGTTTTGTTGGATCAAGAGAAGGCGTATGATTGGGTTCATCCTGAATATCTTTGTCGTGTGTTGCTCCGGTTTGGTTTTCCTGGTGAGTTGGTGTCTTGTCTGTCTTCTTTGTTCTTTGGAACCAAGATTTCAGTGTCTATCAATGGTTGGCTTGGTGCTCCTGTACCTCAATTGCGAGGTCTTCGTCAAGGTGATCCTCTGTCTCCATTGCTATTCAATCTGGCATTTGAGCCTTTGCTTCGTTCTCTCCTTGCTTGTCCTGGTCTTTCTGGTGTTACTCTGTCTCCTGTTAATATCCCACGTAAATGGAAGCCTTCACCGGTTGAAGTTCGTGTGGATCATGGTACTGGTTCCCGGAATTGGACTTTGGACTTTGTCAGTGGCTCTGTTGCTCCTCCTCCTGTCAAGATTCTAAGCTATGCGGATGATCTTGAGGTGTTTTTGTCTTCGCCAGAAGAGTGGTCTGTGTTGTTGTCTGTTCTTGATCTGTATGGCCGAGCATCTAATGCGAAAGTCAATATCAGCAAGACAGTGTTGGTGTCGTTGTCTGGTGTGTCACACTCTGCTTGGGTTGCTTTGGCTGATTCTACTGGTCTCCAGTGGCATGACGCTCACTCTCGTGGTGCAGTACGTTACTTGGGTTATCCCTTGTATCATACTGAAAGTCAACTTCAAGACTATCTTGATGGTGTCTTGGTGAAGGTCCAGCGACACAGTAACTTGTTGAAACAAAGGAATCTCTCCATTAGGGGAGCAGGACTAGTGGCTAACTCGTTACTGTTGTCAAAGGTATATCATTTGTTGCGTGTTGTTCCTGGTGGTGTAACTGCGTCGTGGTTGAAGTCGCTCACAAAGGTGGTTCGTGAGTATCTGGTGTCTTTTCGCCCCGGTGTTGCCTGGTCTACTTTGTGTCTTCCTCGAAAATTTGGTGGTGTTGGTCTCGTGGATATAGCAGATCAAAGCTTAGCTTTGCATCTTGTCTATTTGCAACGTTTGTTGCGTCCACCCTCTCCTAGTGATTTTGTCTCCTCTTGGTTGGTGTATGCTTTTCAAGTTTACACTGGTCATAAGTCCATCTTGCCATGGTTTTGTTTTCCTGGTCTTTACCAGTCTCGTGTGTCTTCTGTGCCTGCTCTAACACATCTTGGAAAGCTTCTGTTGAGATTGCCAAAGTTAGTTCCTTCCTCTGGTTGGTCTGCTAGGTGGTTTCTTGATCTTCCCTTGTGTTCTGTACTCAGTACTGTGCCTTCTGTTCGTCCTCCTCGTGATCCATCATCTCTTGATCCTCGTTTCTTGGTGTCGGATGTCTCTTTCTGGCAACCTGATCTAGGTATAGTCGATGGTGTCACCTCTCATCTTGCTTGGTCATCTCGTGTTTTGCGCCCTGTTTTTCTTGCTTTGAACCGTGATCGTGGTCCTGTCTCTCTGGTATTCCCGCCTGTCATGGATAGTAAGATAGTCTTGTCTCAAGCAGACTATTTTACTATGCCCCGTTCTGATGGTGCTACCTCTTGGATGCCAGATTGTTCACATTAGACTGTCTCCAACTCGTCTCGTTCTGCTGCTCCGGTTGCTCGTCTCTCTCTTGGTGCTTTGCGAAGGTATTGGCACCCTGCAAAGGGTACCATTACCTCTCGTATGGGTCCTCCCTTGAAGTTGCCTGCTCATTTGTTGCTGTCTCCTGCTTTGTGGCGTACTTTCTGATCCCTGGAAATGCCTGCAAAGGCTTTCACACCTTAGTGGCGATTGCTACATGACCGTGTCCAGCACCGTTCGTGGTGCCATAAGATTATGCCTACCAAAGTTCTGTCTCCTGCTTGTGCTCTTTGCGGTTTTGCTACAGAGGACCTTTACCATTTCGTGGTGGGTTGCCATGTCAAGTCATTTTTCTGGCAGGATGTAGTCTCTTTGTTGTCACTTCAAGAGCTACTCCCCTCTGCTTCTTCTATTTGGTTGGCGCTGACTACCTTTTGTAGTGGTTCAGATTTGTTGGTGATCGATGAGGATGTTCTGATTGCTCTTGGTGCTGCCTACAGTACACTTTGGAAGTATCATTGGCGATGCGTCATAGACGAGGAGCCTTGGATAGCTTCAACTGCTATCAGTATGGTCCGTCAAGATCATGGTACACTCTTTTCTTCTCTTTCTTTGGCAAGGACGTGTTCAAGCTGGCACCTTGTCCTTGCCTGTAAATTCTGTATAGATTATAAACTTTAAAGCTAATAAAGATACACTTTAATACAAAAAAAATATCAGCTCTACAACATATCTTGATTTCAGATCGATTCAACAATTTTTCGTCGAATTCATCTTTTTCACTACTTTTTCAACAACGCGATTTAGTTACACTCTAGATTGCAAGTTACACTCTACGTCTGTTACACTCCATGTCTTCCCAATCTGAATTGACTTGGGCTCAAAGAGCTTCGCGTCAAAAGGTGGGTCGATTTCTCCAACCGAACAAGCGACGATTGGACAATCCAACTGATGTACCACTGGTGGGTACTGTTCTCTATGAAGATGATGACCTAAAGGGTCAAATTTTGGCAAGCAAGGCTATGGCGATTATTCAGCAATCCCTTTCTTCTGGTTCTGTTCTGTTCACGTTTCAGAAAACTTTGTTTCCTGATCGTGTTGCCGCTTACAAAGTGATTCAAGATCAAATCTCACCTGACGTGGAATTTCGACCTCTTAGTTTGTATAATTCTCGTGCTGATGCACTACGGCCCAACTTGTGGAATTTGAGGCTTGATAGACTAAAATTCACGGAAAAAAAAGAATAAAAAACAGTAATGTCAACTTGATAAAGGTATATTTTATTATCAAACTGACAGGTGTAAAGTAAACTGAAGTCTCTCTACTGGCCAGGTAGATGATCCTTCTTATATACTATAACAATGGATAAAAGTTCTATTAATTAGATTGACAAATAAGTCAACTCAGATCAACTAATGTCTAATCATGCTAAAAGACAACTCCAGCAAGCTAATCATGATTTAGCTCTGTCTGGATGAATAATTAGACTCTCATCCGAAGTACCCTGATCTATCCTTTCCATAAGGATAATTAATATCGATCTAGTAGCATGTATCCGATAGGTACAGTCTTCTTAGTCTATATTAATAGTACATATCTGAGTGTATATCGCTAAGCATACATCTTTAGCATGTATCTGGATATATGGCATGTCTATAGCATATCGTATGCATGTCTATAGCATGTCTCATATATAGTACAAGTCTGTAGTACATAAAGTATCTGTAGCTAGTATCACGGATATAAGCATGTGTCTTATAGCGTGGATCATGAAGTGCACATCTGAAGCAACAAGCTCATATTGCATTAATCTTGGTGCCTATCCAGATATGGTAAACATCCGTAGTCAATGTCGGAATACAAGTATAAGTCTATAGTGCCATCCATGTCCGTGGTGCCATCTATAGCCTATATCTTATATAGTATGAATCTTATAGTACTAGCGTATCTGAAGTCCATATCTTCTCATGATCATAGTATAAATCGATATCGTACATCTAATCCAGTGTACATACAGTTTATATCTAAATCTGGTAACTGGATGAACTGTCGGAATGCAGATCATAGTGGATGTATTCCACATTTGCCCCCACCAGTTTCAACGCATGTTGACTAATTCAAAGAATTATGTAAACGATCAATGATCTGTATTTCGCATTCGCTGACAAAGATATAACGCAATGTGATAGTCTAAAGGTGCTACTGCAATTTGCATGTTGCCCTGATATATCCCATGACAAACATCACTTTACTGTTCTGCAACGTTGAGTCTCTTAGAGCCTCTCAAACGCTTGTCAGAATCATCACGCTTACGCTTTGATTTGGAGGAAGCAGTGTCACTATTTAGTGCCTGTCTTCTCTTCTCAAGCAGCTCATATTCCTTGATCTTTGCCCAGTACTTACGAATGGTTTGAGGGTTGTTGAACGATGCAGCGGTTTCCCAGGAGTTGGCAGCTTCTCCAAATGTCTTCCATTTTACCAAATACTCTCTATTGTGTTCAGGACCACGATGCGCTCTGATATCGTCAACCTCATATACTTCTTGTTCGATGATAGACTCGTCGATTGCTACCAGCTTCAATTCAGATGGCACATAGTCGCGATGTAATAGTTCATTCATATCGTCTTTCAACACATATGTAGATCTTTTCTTTTGAACAACTTGATAGGGTCCATCATAAGCGGCCTCAAGTTTGCTTTCTCTATGCGGAAGTCTTACCATAACCCAATCACCAACTTTGAAGTGTGTAATCTTGTGATGCTTATTGAATCGCGTTGCTTGCTCTTCAATAATGCGTTGTGTTCTTTGGTTAATAGCTGGAAAGACAACCTGGTTCATAATCTCTGCCTTCTTGCGTAGCTCACCGAGAGTCATTGGCTTCTTTGGTAAGTTGTCCTTGATCTTAGGATCATCGTAGTCTACGAATCTATTCAATGGTCTAGCAAACATCAATTGAAAAGGTGCACTCTCAGTGCGATACCTAATTTTTGTGTTTATAGCCAGTTGAGTTCCAGGTAGAACCGAGTCCCAGTCATAGGTGTGTTCACTGACCATCTTACGAAGTGCATTAAGAATATTTTTAACACCTGATTCGGATGCACCATTGCCCCTAGCGTGGAAAGCCGTAGAGTATCTTTGATTGATGCCAAGTGCTTTACCGATCTCGCTCATCAAAGCACTCTTGAATTCACGTCCATTATCAGATTGTAGTATTTGTACTATGCCAAAGTCTCCAAAGATGGTAGCCAGAGCTCTAGCGACAGTATCGGTTTGTTTGTTGGGCAATGCACGAGTTATAATAAATCTGGTGCAAATGTCGTATACAACTAATATATATATATTGCCATTGTTGGTTGGAGTTAACGGACCAAGAAAGTCAATGCCTATGTGATCAAATGGACCATACGCTACAACGTTTCTCAGTTCATGATAACCCTTTTGAACTACATTGTGTCTTGCACATTCCATACATGATTGACAAATTGCCTTTGCATCATCATATAGACCTGTCCAATGAATACCTTCTTCATGTAGTTTCTTGACAATACTAGCGGCACCAAAGTGTCCAAATTCATGAGTTTCACGAAGCAGTTGGTCTCTCTCATTGTCAGGTGGTGCAATGTAAGCAACGCTTTCATAATTGCCCTCCTTGATCTTCATGGCAAGTACATTCAAGTGCTTGTCTTTATTATAGACTACTTTGTTCTTGGTTAGATAATGCTTTGTTTGCTTATTGTTGCCAATGAATCGTTTCTTGGAGCCTTTGCTTCTCATGATATTCTTTTGTAATTTAGCAATTTTCTTATCACTGTCTCCCGCCAGCTCTGTATGATCTTCTAAAGGTTCATACAAGCGACTAAGTTTGTCAGGTAAGATGTTGTCTAAACCCTTGATATGAGTGAATTGCAGTTGGGGATACTCGTTTAAAATCTCCATGTAATTTTGAATGACTCTAGTAGGACATTTACATGTGTAGATATAAATCAGAGCTCGATGATCTGTCATAACCTCAATCTCAGGATGCCCGTACAATAAGGGTCGCAAACGAACTAAACCGAATAACACGGCATACAGTTCTCGTCTCAGGACAGGCCAGTTCTGTTGGGATTTGGTCAGAGATTTGCTCAACATCGCCACATAGACTGTGCGTCCTTGATCGTCGCGCTGCGTCAAAATGACTGCAACTGCATATAGGCTAGCATCACATTCAAGATAAAATTTCTTATTCATGTCTGGTGCAGTCAGTAAAGCTTCAGATAACAAGACCTTCTTGATAATCTCAAGTCGTTTGGTGTGCTCCTCAGTCCATTTGCTACCAGCATCTGGATCATTTCGTAGAGCATCAATAGGCGCCATCAGTTTTGACAGATTTGGGATGTGTGGTCTCAAATATGAAATAACACCAGCTAGTTGTTTAACCTGTTTGGCAGATTTGCATGGACCCCAATGATCAATGTCAGAGAGACGTCGCATGTCAACCTTGGAAACATGAGGACCAACTACAAAGCCTAGCAAGTAGATGCTAGATCGAAACCAGGAGCACTTTTCAACACCAATCTTTAAGTTGGCATGTGTCAAGCGTCTCAGCACCTCCTTAATCAATTCGCAATGACTGGATAAGGATGAAGATACGAGGCATAGGTCGTCCACATAGACCTCCACGTTGGGCATATCAGAAAACAAAATGTTCATGACAGAGCTAAAGACAGATGTGATTGGGCGCAACCCGAAACAGCAGCCTAACCATCTATACGATTTTCCTCTAAAATTGAACAAAAGCACATTTCTTGATATGTCAGAAATTCTAAATGAAAAATATGCGTTTTTCAGATCGACTTTCGAAAATATTGTCCCCTTCTGCTTGATCCGGGTGAAGATATCCTGTATATTTGGTATCTCAAATTGGTTTGTATTGTTGGGCATATGCTGGTTGATCCTCCGCACATCCATACAAACTCGAGTTTTGGTGGGTTTGCCATCATTGTCCTTCTTTGATACTGCAATGAGAGGGCTGTTGAATAAGCCGTTAGGTCTACACTGTTCTACAATTCCTGCATCCAGCCATTCATTCAATTGCTTTTCGATTTCGGGCATTGCATGATGTGCGATCGGATATTGCTTGACGTAGTAATCAACATTCTCCTTGATTGGTATAGTGATCTCAGATTCAGGCACGTTACAAAACGTTCCAGGCTTGATTCTCTGATTCTCATCAATAGCATCTTGGATGTTGCTCATATACTTATTCTCCTCAGCTTGGGATTCAAAGATTGATGCGGTTTCTGGATCAATAGAATGTTTAGTATCAAAATTGACATTTTCGAAATCGATGCTTTCAAGAAGCTCTGATTTCTCTTCCTCTGTAAGATGTCCAATATCAGCAAACTTGTGAGCAACGCCAGTTAGCCCAATTCTAAGTCGACTCAATGTGTCTACACCCAGTAGCACATCAAAATCGCCTAGGTCCTGAATAAAATTGGATAGCTCAAACGAGTGATCAAATGCAATGTCATTAAGATATCTTATCTTGATAGCTGGTGTTTTACCCAATCTCTTTACTGAATGACTCAGAAAGTTCAAATTGCCTTCAACAGAAATAATATCTTGGGAAGTGAATAGTAGTTTATTGTGAAAAATGTTTTTATTTAAGAAGGTGGAATCTGATCCCGTATCTACTTTCGCGATCAAACGGACTGGTTTTCCTTCTTTGCTCTCTAAAATAATAGGAGTCAGTAACTGAAATGGATTGAAACTTTCAGGAACATTTTTCACATTAGACTTACAGTTGAGCGAGGCATCCTCTGCTTCAATCTCGTCCAAGCAAGCATCTATCTCCTCCATGGTGACATCTCCAACAGCATCACCAATGTCAGAATCAGTGCTACTTTCCATGGTAACATCGTTGGTCTCAGAACCAGAACCAGACTTGTTGTCCTTGCGAACAGTGGTTGTTTGTACAGTATGCACACCAATGTTCTTCCTTGATTCTCTCTCCTTCTTCCAGTCGTAGAACTCTTGACAACGATGACCGTAAGCACGGGGCTTACCACAAAAGTTGCAGGTTTTGGGATCAGAGGATGAGGAACTCATAGAATACGGAGCAGCAGTAGTAGCCCGGTTAGGCTTGTTGTCAGAGCCAAAGTGCTTCAATCTTGACTTACAGTCAATGGTGTTGTGGTTGGCATTGCTCCCGCCATGCTTCGCACAGAAATACCCAGTGGCAGATACCCTTGCCATCTTTGTTCT